CTATTTCTGCTACTGTCTGCAATGATTTCTCTCTGCAGCCCTAAATCCTGAAAGACTTTGGGAAGTTCCAGGCTTTACAGGGGGCAGCACTGGGTGAATATTAGAGTTACTGTAGTTTTCCCTGTTCATTGCAGGTGTGTTGGACTAGATGAAATTTAAGTGTCCCTTCCAACTAAAATGATACTATAATTCTTATAATTGTATGATTTCGTGATGCCCAATAGAGCCATGAGCTAATTCACATCCTTTCTAATGGTTAGAAGTGGAGTTCAACAAGCAGAAAGATCCAGAGTAGCCCTCAGCTGCCTTTGAGATGTGCTCTGAAGGGCTGGTATCAAGAAGTCATGCAAAGAAGAGATGAATTTTTTAGTGTCAGCCATCCTCTGGAGTGGATTTTGCAGGGGAAAAGGGCATTGGGAGACTTCTTCAGCCCTCCAGCTCCTCTGTCAGACTGGGGCTGCATCCACCTCAAGCCTCAGTGACACGCGGGCTGCTCGCCATCCGGAGAAGGAAGGACGAGATGATTTGTTTTTGTGTGTGTTTTTCTTTCCATGTCTGCTACTTGGAAGGAAACATGTCTGCTTTTAGAGAACAATGCTGCCCAGGGCCGTGGGAGTGAGCAAGTGATGTGTGCGAATCCTAACCCGGACCCTGTTCCCAGGCCAGCGCTCGGCGATACTCAGCTGTGCAGCCCCATGCAGCATGGTAAATGTGAAATGAGGGGGTTGGGGGCAATTCGGCACTGCAACCTCTTCCCTCCTTCATGGGGATATGGGTTTCCCTGAGCTGTTGTAAGCAGGGATGTGCCAGGGCCCCTTGAAGTCCCCCAAAATCCCCACGCTGCATACAACTCATAGCCCATCTCTAATTCTTCCTCTTCTTCTTCTTCTTCTAAATGTTTTTTTCTTGATACTTCTTACAGCCATTTCTTCTCCTCTTCCCCGTTCCCTACGCTGACAGACTGATGGGGAAAATACGTGGTGATGGGATGGCCAGCAAATGTTTTCCTTCTCTTCAACCACGCACAGCAAAACCAAACCTCCTCATTTTGAGACAACAAGTGCTCTCAGAAGTGAAATTCTTACCACATCTCTGCCTTTGGAAGTTGGGCGGACTCCGAATGTTTTTGAGCAAAGTACATCTCCTACCACTCAGGTCATATTTCATGTTGGCACTCCTCAGGTGTCAGATTTTGAAGAGAAGCCATCTGGGTCTCTGCCTTTGTTCTCCTTCTCCTCGTGCATCATTGCCATGCTTTGGATGTGCAAAACCACATTTTGAAGGATTCCCAGCTTGTTCCCCAAACATCTCGTCTGGTTGAGAGTGTTTGGCATAAATTGGAAAGTGCTCAGATAGGTTGTAACTTCCATCTAAGCAATGCAGAATTTGTAGCAGGAGGTGTTTTAAAGGTCTCCTCTCCAAATACTATGAAACGTATGGTATTCAGCTGAGGGGCTCAATAAAAACCATAAAGATTTGCAGAGTTTAAGACAAAGACAAGTACTGAATAGAGAAAATACATTCCAGCAATGTGGACTAACCAGGCATTTTACTCATTTTTTGGCATCTATCACCACCTCCCTGCCCCACCATTGGCTATTGCTGCCTTTTGAGCCCAGCTGTGAGCTAGCAGTGCCCAAAGGCAGAGAAGGATGCAGGGAGAATGCAGCAAGATAAAGCCTCGCCATCCCCATCAGGATCCTTTATTGTGATCACCTTTAACATAAACCATTGCACTAGCATGCTGGTGAGCACTGAAACAAGGCTCCTTAACATCCCCTCATCCTCATCCCACACACCTCTCCTCCACTTGAGTGCCCAAGTTTAGATAGGTCAGGTTTGAATGGAGGCTTAGTTTCAAGGCTAAAGACATCCATCATAAGGCTGCTCAGTGCTGGCACTTTTATCCCCTCTGTGAAACAACTTTTGAGGACTCTCCATCCAAAGCCTGCATCCCCAACCTGCATTTTCAGCCCTCCCCAAGCCTAAACCCACGGTTTACCAGGAGTGGGAAGAGATGCAGGAAAACAAGGGGCACTTCAACCCCTTTTTAAAGCTCAGATTCCTTCCCAGTTTGGTATATTTAACTTGGGTGCAGTTCTGAAACAAAAGTTACAGAGATGCCAAGTTGTTGGGGCAGGGAGAGGGAAGAAAGTTGGTTAGATTCTGAGAGCCTTGGAAGATCATTAAAATTTCATAACAGGCAGGGAAAAAAAAAAAAAAAAAAAAAAAAAAAAAAAAAGAAAAAAAAGACAGGCTGTTTGCTTATAAGGTCTCTAGTGTTTAAAGAGCTAGAGACAAAACTGCCGAGCTGTATATTCCAGTTTATCCTGTGGAATAGGAAGGAATGGCCCCAGACGTAATTACAAGTAAGTAGTGCACTGAGAAGGGAAAAGCTCAGGAAATGTGATGTCTAAGACCTTTTTTTCCCCTCTGGTGTTTAATCAGTTTGCCTGGGTGTACAGTAGGGATTGTTTGTTTGTGCTTTTCGTGATCTGCCTCCGTTGTAACGTATTGGATTCTTTGATGGGAAACGTGCGGGATGGGAAGAATTTTTGTGTGGCCGCTGCTGAAATTCAATGCAGTTTAAAGCAAAACCAGGGAAGAAGGGTGAAACGCGAGGCTTGTTTTGTGAGTTTACAGAGCTGGAAGGCAGGGTATGAAGTTTCAGCGGTGGTCTCACTACTTATTGACTTTTGAGTTGTATCCGCTGAGCAAGCAACACAAGAGAGGTTTTACAAATCAGGGAAGGGGTATCTCATCCATGTTGACACCTAGCAAAAAAATAAAGCAAGAATAGCAGCAGTGGTGGATAATAGCAGTGGGGAGATGGATGCGATGCAGTGTATGAAAACGTTTTCAGAAATGTGTTCTATTTCTGTTCTATACCGTGACTCCTTAAAAATGCATTAATGTTGAATTGGGATTTAAAAACACTGAATAACGCCACTGGCAAAATATTTCTCTGAAGCACAGGATGCTGGATCTGAAAAACGAAATCAGTCATAAATTACAGAACACAGTAACAACCACAATCTACAAATTGAACGTTATTAAATGCTCTTCTCAGTACAAAATAACTGCCAATGCCGTGCAATGATACAAACATGAGGAAAGGTATTATGTTACTGCCGAGGCTGCAGATATCAGTTCCATTTCTAAATCTCCACGGAGTACTTTAAAACATCAGTAATAGTGAAATTCTTGTTCTACGTTACTTCATATTATTTATGAATACAGAAAAGTTATTACTTTATATTTTATTATGAACCTACTTTTATTTCTCTGTAATTTGTACAGCATTAATGTGTTCAATGGCATATTGCTTGCAGTAAAAGATATATATCTTAATTTTCTATTTTACTTTAGGAAAAAAAAACAAAAAACAATCTTATTTATAATTTCCTATCGTTAAAATGATTACTAGGTAACTTTCAAGAAGAATACAAGGAAAATGCATTCAATTATTTCTTTAAAATACATTCTATTTTCTGGTAGTTTTAATGAGTATAGTACAATATCCTACCTCTGTGCATACCTGATAGATATATTTCATGCCTGTAAGAGCAACTTAATAACTAGAAGTACTCTAAAGGTATATAGCTAAATTAAAGTTTTATTATCTACTGTGGGGTTTATTCTCCTAAAAACACATTGATTCATTGGCAATTTTTTTTTATAAATTCCTTACTCTGATTTGAAGAGTTCATCCACTAAGGAGAATTATTTATTTCTAATTAGGATGCAATTTTCTCATCATTTTTGCATCTTCTGGCTAAAGCTCAGCCCCCGTTGCATTTCAACTTTCACCTACACAATTATACAAATAAAGGACAAAGAGTAACTCTGTAGATTATACATAAGCAAAATCTCACCATTATTTGAAGGAGCTTCCCAGATAGCAGAGGGATCCAAGCCATGCTGAAATTAACGAGTGATTTCTATGTGCTGTAAAGGGATTTGGATCCTGACACTGGACTCCTTACAAATTGTCAGGACATTAATTTTATCATTTTGCAGAATCAGGCAGTTACCCATGGAGTAGTTTAGACTATAACTGAAGAGTGTGGCTTGGTCTGACAGTGATATTTTCCTCTCCATGATGTGGATTTATCACTGGCACCGTGTCTGACAAAACATGTCTGCTTATTTCTCGCCCATGGGTTAACAAAGAACTTGTTTGGACACAGTGTTTGCATAGTGAATATAATGGATTTTTAACCCATAGTCACTTCTAACATTTTAAAAAACCAGACAACGTTACTCATAGAAAAGTTCATTCTGCATTTTGTTAATTATCAGAGTAGCTTTAAATCTCTTTACTTTGCTTAGAAAATGGAGCATTGTGAGTGCTTATAAGAATTCTGGAGTCAATGGAGAACCGAGTGCTTTTCGCTTCCATTTCCCTTGCCTTTATACTTTATATTCCTCGCTGTTAGGTTGTGCATGCCTTTCACAAAGCTTTCATTTGGAGCAGGGAGTAGGGTCCGAAAAGGGTTTACTCAGACTAAACGCAGTATGGAAACAAGGACTATGTTGTCACATCAGGTTTGCTCAACACTTAAAATCTGCCTTGGGTCTCCGTGTCCTGCCATAATGCAAATGAGAGTGCTCTTGCTGGGAACATGTCATTCCCGTGAACGTTAAATGCTGTCATGCAAACCTCGTGGGAGTGAGCTACAGCAAGTCCTCCTGATTTAAGAGCTATTACTGATGCTGCTATTATTACTTTACAGGGGTACAGCGGGGATTCACAACCTCGGTTCTCAACCTTTCCCTTATTTCTTCATGGGAGGAAGTGAAGTGGCAAGGCTCCCAGCTAGACACATTTGTTGTCTCAGTGTGGAGGAATAATTGGAGCACGGCTCCTGTTAGGGAGTTGTGTAAAAGAAACCTTCTTCAGATCTTTTCTTTTTTTTTCTTCCTTTTTCTTTTTCTTTCTTTTTTTTTTTTTTTTTTTTTTTAAGAAACAAAGATTTAAAAACGCAGTTCTGGTTTGAACAGTCCTTATCTTCAGGCAGCAAAGTTGTGGACAAACAATGGGTGCACTTTCATGTGCACGCAGAAGATAACATCACTTATAAATACAGAAGGCTTCTGGGCTCTGCAACAGCTATTGGTGCAACGGAGGTCTCATTCCTGATGTGCAAGCTGACGTGGATGGAACAGGATGCCTGAAGAGGTGGTGGAGTCACCATCCCTGGAGGTGTTCAAAATCCATGGAGATGTGACACTCAGGAACGTGGTTTAATGAGTGATATTGATGGTAGGTGGACAGTTGGATTAGATTAACTCAGAGATCTTTTTCAACCTTAATAATTCCATGATTCTGTGATTCCATGCACTCCTCTCTCTGAGCACCTGACCTCTGCTCATAACTTCTCAACCTAGGCAGGCCACGCCAAAGAGTCACTGAATCTTAGAAGCAGATGGGCTCATATGAAGGGAAAAGTGAAACAACTGATTCTGCTTTATTTGTTTTTTTTTCTACAGGCTTATGCAAGCACATTTCACATGCTTCAGGCAGCAAAAAGCTCAGAAAAGTCTGAAGTTGTTGTCGTGAAGTGTTGTGGACCATTCCCAAAGCCACACTCAGCATCATGGACTTTCAGCTCTGCACCCATCCCACTGCAGAAATCTCTGCTGGCTCAGAGAAGCAGTTTGCAATCCCTGTGCTCCAACATTGGTAAATAGAGACCTTTTTACCGTTAGGTTTTCATATTCTGAAGAAGATGATCAGCGGCCATACACACCATTTATTTCTGTAGCTCTGCAGAACCAACACGAGCCCAAGTCTTCAGTATGGCTTCGAAATGCATACCTCAGTTTGGAGCCATAGATGTGACCTTATTCTTCCCTTTATCCCTTACACTTGACCTTGATCCAGTCAGTCATATGTTGTTTCTGAAGAGTGGCAACGCAGAGAATGCCAGATCTCTGATTTATTTGTGGTTAAGAGAACAATTCCTGCGCGAGCTGAAAGCTTCCCTCATTTTAATTGTAGCACCTGCCTAAACCCTTAACCTCTCCAAAATTGCCCTCAGTGCTGGAGTTGTTACTGCAGCCCCAGTGATCCTGGCAACCCTTGTCCCTTGGCAGAGATGGAGAAGACAGTGCTGTCTTAGCACAGCCACTGCCTGCAGCAGAGCTAGGACAGGGGATGGAGTAGGGGCTGTTAAGTGAGGCTGTAACAGATTGGAGAGCAAATGTAAAATGAAATCCTCCAAATTCAGTGGAGAGCAGCTTGCCCTTTCATAATCTCAGTGAAGCCTTTTCTCCTTGACAATTTGCTGAAAGGACCTCTGTTGTTTTTTACTTAACACATCTGTGGATTTATTGCAAGCTGATGCTTTCTGTTTTACTTCTACATGGCACAAGCAGAAGATGGGGAGAAGAATTCAACCCAGATCTCTGACTCAACACTGCATTCCAAGTGTGGTGAAGCCCCAAATGGTGCTGATGAGAGAGAGTCCTGCTTGTCCCGGCCTGATCCTGAATGATCCTGATATGCTCTGACTCTTTCCTGTAACAAATACTTAGGGAGAAAGGAAATAATTTGAATAAATAATATGAAAAAATTGAGATCTACAATACAGGACACCATAGCATTAGTGTGGGAAAGATTTAATGCAAAACTGACCATGTTCCTCACGTATGTGAGTCCACTTGTCATGAGGTTACTCCTTGATATTTTACCCAGTGGAGAACGGAGAATGGAGAATGGAGAATGGAGAATGGGAGAATGGGAGAATGGAGAATGGGAAAGAGCAAATCTTTCCCAGGGAGGAGTAAAACTCAAACCTCAGCTTCTCAGACAGAAAGAAGGAGCAAGGAGGGATGATGCCATGCGGAGAGATATTCCCCATCATTTATTGCACTCTGTTTCTTTCTTGGCCAGGGCAGCATAGATGGGAACAACCAAAGCACCCTGTCCCTCCTATTCTCCCTCTGATCTGCTGCTGAGCTGTGTTGTGCTATCCACCACAGGGCGTCCATATCCTAACGCTCCCCTTGCCCTTTACCTTGTTTAGCCTTTTTTGCCATCACGAAATAATGTTCACAATGGCAAGAACACAAAATAGCTCATAATGTGCCTCAAACTGTGAGAAAAGCGCATTCGATCCTCCCCAAACACAGACCTGCTCACTTCAAAGGCGGCAATATTTAGATAGTAATCAACATCGCGTTTTCTTCCCTTTCCTGGCCCAATGTGTCTATTTGCTCAGGCACTCTTTCCATCCATCCAGAAAACTCAACGTGTCCAAAGCACACACGGGGCTGAGCAACGATCCCATGCAATGCCTGAACAGGGCAGCCCCAGGTATGATCCCAATGACCTGGCTACTACAGTGCTGCCACCCTATGGCATGTGGTTTGCTCCTGGGTTGTTTTATTTATGGCTAAAACACTGAGTGAAGAAGCATCCTCTCCACCTTAGAGATAGTTAAATAGGAGCAAACAACAGTCTCAGAATGCGATCTATAGCTCCCTGGAGGAAGAAGTTGTCCCTCATGCCATCCCCATGCGTGGTACATCTTCAAATGATGGACTGGGGAGAACCTATTATCTTCAGTTATCAGATACAGTGATAAATGATTAATAAAGAATCAAACTGAAAACGAGCGTTGCTTTTGTTTTTTTCTTAGATTGCCATCTCCAGCTTCTTGTGCCATTATTTATGAGACAGCGTTTTTAAATGATTATGAAAGAGTGCATTTGTTATGCTGTAAATTTAAGTTTTATAGTCAATGGATATTTTGTGGCCTGGGAAAAAGTAAACATAAACTGAAAGAGTCATTTATTCCTATTCTTGTTTTGGCCCAATGAGAATTAACATCAGATGTGTGAATGGTAAAATTCCTTGAAGGAAATGCATCTCATTGTTAGTGATTGTTAGCTGAAAACACCCGAACCTCAGATGATGCAACAGCCAGACGTCTGCAGACTTTAAGAACAATTGTGATTTATTTCCAGGAATAAGGGGAAATTTCTTCGTATTCCTCTTCCCACATCACTCATCCTAGCAGGGAAAGATACTTTCCAAGGCATTTCAACAGTCACTAATGCTGTAGGTCTGAATGGCTCAGTCCACTCGACAGATGGATTGGGATCTCACATCAGCCCTAGGAGAAATCGAAAAGAAATCATATGAGAATGGAGACAGACTTGCATGAACACTGTGCTGATAGTACTGAATTATTCAGTGGCTAAATGTGAAGGCTGACTGTGATGAGATGCCAAAAATTCATCCAGGAGTGCACAGCTGGATGATAAAACATCAAATAAAATTCAGGATAGATAAATGTCAAGTGATATACACAGGAGAGGAGAGTCCTGGCATTCTAATGGTACCTGTGCTCTAAACAAGCTATGATCACTGTGGAGAATTAGAGCTACAATACAGACTCCTATAAAACTGATTATCCCATAAAATAGATTGTAGCTGTAACTCTCAAAAAGAAAGTTACTGTTAGGAATTCTTAGGAATATAGCATAAGCATTGCGTCATTTTGTAAATCCTCGGTGCATCTGCACCTGAAATACCTGAAATCAACTAGCTTGTAAAGGAACTGGTGAAACTGGAAGAGGAGGACAGTAAGGTAGACAGGGACTTAGAAAGCACCGAGTCTGAGAATGATTAAATGTACCAGGTTTATTGAGCCAGAAAAGAGATGGCTGAGAGGATATGATGGAGGGTGCTGGAATTATGAGTGACAAGGACAGAACAGCAAGGATCTGTCTGCTGTTTATTCTTCTAATACAAAAGCTCAGAAGCATGAAGTGAAGCTTGTTGCTGGCAGTTTAAACTGTGAAGGAGCAATCCTTCCTGACACCATGCTTAGTCATCCTGTGGAACTCCTTGCCACAGGATGCTTGGAGTGCTAAAAATTTACTGGATATATTCAGGAAAGAAAAACCCATCCGAGGTTTTTTAAAATCCATCTGTGTTTTGTATTAAATTGAAAGACGCCACGTCTGGTTCAGAAAGCGCCTGAGCCAGAAACCACTGTAGGTTGGGCAAGCATCTTGAGGAAGTATCACTGCATAACTGACCTACATTTGTACTCTTTCCTGGGCTCTTGCTTCTGCTGCAGATAGGAGGTTATTTGGCATGGACTTCCATACTGTCCTGCTAAAGTTGTTCATATCTTCTTCTTGTGAGCCTAGGCATCAAAGTGATAAGTAATTCCAGACAAATGCACTCCTCATGTTCTCTCTTAAATCTAGCTGTAATGTTAACTATTAAGTCGGGTGTTGACAGGCCAATGAGTAGTGGCCTCAGGTCTTGGGCTTCTCTTTTTCTAGTTCCTAGTCTCCTTTGCACTGGTCTAATACAACCCAGAGCAATCAAAAAGAGCTGTAAGGACATTTCCACATGAGGGGACATTGGCTTCCTCTCAACACCACGTACGTGTGGCAGATCAACCAAGACACAAGGTGATTTAGCTAATGTAGAGCAGTGCATGAACAAGGTTGATGTGGTGTAAAGTCTGGCTCTGGTTTTGTATCTGAATATCACAGGAGCAATGGCTTGATCTGTCCGGTCAAGGAGATGTGCCCAGATTTACTCCTGTTACTGAACAGCTCTGATGTGCTGATATAGCTTTTGGAGTTCAGAGTATTTTAGCAGGGAGGAAAACCAGTTTAGAAAACATTGCTTTTGGCTATAGACTAGCAGAAGATCTCTATAAAAGGTATTGACTCTCTTACTCCAGCTACTCCAACTTTAATTGCTTGGCCAGGCAGTTTAAAATAGCTACATTAAGTTCTGGACAAATATGTCTGTATTTTAGTGAAGCATTTGATAGTACCATAAAATCTTATTTGAAAGATTGAGTCAAACTGGCCTGGATATAAGTGCTGTGGTCTATGCAATGGCTAAAAAGCCATAAATGAAGACAAATTTTGACTTGTTGGGTTTGAGGAGGTGATGGAGGTTTTTGTGGGAGAGGAACAGGAGTTACGCCTCACTTTGTTTAATGTCTTCATTCATTAACTGAAAGAAGAAGCAAACAAAATGATCGTTGCATTCACAGATGGGTGGGAAACACTTGTAAAGAACACTGAAAGAGTTACTGGCATGGCTTTGATTACTCACTCCTAATAATCTCCAGCAGAAAAGTTGACACACATGTAAAGGTAACTATATGTGACTACCAACGGGGCAGAACATTTAATCTCTGCTGGCTGTATCTATCACAGCAGAAAATCTGTCACATAAGAGGACTTCCTAAGCGAGGTGGAGCATAGTGATCATAGACATAACAGTTTTCCCTAAGTGTGCTAATGATGATGCTCTAATTTCTTGAATGTCACTCCATTCTGGGAGCCTCAGTAAGTTAACAAAAGCATGGGGAGCGATCATAGGGGAAAAGAGAGAGTAAAATATCTAACTATGAATAAGTTAGATAAATTATGACTCAGGCAGTGTTTGATAACTGTCTGTATGTGTATGAGGGCTACAAGGGAAAAAATTTTCTTGAGCGGCATAAGAAGAAATAGAGAAGAAATCAGATGAAATCAAACAAAGGAAAATAATGAATGAATAATAGGAATTGTTCTTAATGGTAAACTTGATCAGAGTTTTCAGAAGTATTTATATAAATTGGTGAGAACAAAACATTCAGATGTGAGAAAGCTGCTTGAATCTCAGTTATTGCAGATATTGGCTTCTAGTATTTCCTGTAGCAGAGCAAGAAACAAGAACAATCAACTGCAAACTCAATGGAAAGGATTTGGCTGCCTTTGTTTTCTGGTGCAGGAGACCAACGATTCTAGGAAGTTCTGCCAAAGAGCTCGTTATTAAAAATGTAGTGAGTGCATCCAAAAGGTTCTCGCTCACAAATGAACATGGTTTTCTGAGACCTTATGGCTGCATCCTCCTTCCTTTCAGGATCTGAAAGTATTTCTGAGCAAGGCCTGCCAGAATGTGCTGCCGGATTTTCTGTAACTGGGAGAACAGGAGGGATGTGATAAAAGGGAAAAGCAATGGGGTTTATAGACCTAGCACAAAAATGAGCTGATGTAGGGCAAGCTGGTCCATGTCCAGATTTCGTGAAGAGGTTTTTGACCACAATTTCCAATGAGGTGCCCAAATGTGGGCACCAATTCCCTTGTTGTCTTTGTGGTATACCCAAAAACCAGGAGGAGTCTATATGTTCAGGGTTATGCCTACGTGTGACCAGGCCCCTTACTGGAAGCTGTAAGGAGACAATGTAACATGGATTTCATATCTGCCACTGGGACCCAGATTTCTGCCAAAAAATGACTTCCAAGAGTCAAGCAACAAGTAGCTTTATGTGGCAGCATGGACTACAGCTGTGATCCTCAGAGGACATAAGGCCATCTGATGGGGACCATCTAATTGTGGTGTCCTTGGGGATTTCTCTTCTCAAAGGAGCCACACAGCAGTTCAAAGATCTTCAAAAATCTTGCTGAGCAATGAGCTGATGTTGGCCATGAACAACTGAATGAAGATTCTTCATGCTGAGATGACATATAAATTAAACGTGCTGAACTTGCAAGTGAGCAAATGAGATCTGGCACTTCCTCAGGCACCAGAAACCTTACTTCCTGATGTCAGCAAGATCTAGAATTTACTTTGAGAATGTTGAATTCTTAGGTCACTGATCACTTCTGAAATTCAGATCTATTAATTAAAATGACCTGATTTTCCAAACAACCTGAAGAGTGACCACTTCCGTTGATGCTTGAATCAGGGAAGAAGGAAACACGAAACTCCTGTGAATCACTGCACCATTTAGAATCTCTGATTTGTGTCACCTATTACCATCCTATGCAGGTTATGCCCTTAAGGCAGGTCTTTATCAAATCCCTGCATTGCTGCAAGCCAATCAAATAAATACTGGAAGCTGGCATCATTTCAGTGATATGAATTCCATCAAGACTCAGGATTTTCATATTTCAAAGACTGTTGTGATTTTTAAAGTCACAAACAGGAACGTGTTTTTGCACAGACCCGTGTTACATTATGCACTTAGAGTCAAACTGCAAAAATAAGTTATAAACACTTTTGATGAAAGGATTGGACACTTCGTTTACACCTTGAAAATGGAGTTTTGTTTTAATGCCCAATTTTGCTTTGGTATTTAACCTTTCCCCTCTGCTTTACGTATTCTATCGTTTCAGTCCAGCTCGCTATTTATTTATTTTTCTGCAGAGAAAAAGAGAAAAAAGGAAATCATTTCTTTTTTTTAAAAAAGGATAAGTAAATACTTGTACAAAAAAGTGTTCAGAGCTCTTAGCTAAATGTATGCTGCAAATCAGGTTCTGTTTTCCTTGGGTGTATTTTACTTGGGGTCTTAGGTGATTTCTATTTGAGATGAATGCACATTAGCTAAAAGCAAAATGAAAAACCTTTTACCTGTCAAGGCATTAATTAAAGTTTAATTAGCTCCTGTTTGCTTTGGAGATGTGAATGTGCTTTGGAAGTCTTGCACATTTTAAGGCCTGCATTGGCAACTTCTGCAGTAGTTTTTTGGCTTTAGAAATATCCAGCATGGAACTAGAGTTTGCTGCATTGTGTAGAGGGCTTTCCGTCTAGTGCCTAACCAA